AGAGCAGAGGGAGAGGCAGGAGAAGGGATTTGTAGGGCAGGAGAAGGGATCTGTAGGGCAGGAGAAGGGATTTGTAGGGCAGGAGAAGGGATTTTTAGGGCGCAGAGAGGATGGAGCAGAGCTCAGGAAGGAGGTGGGAATTCGGAAGCGGGAGGAATAACTCCAAAAGGTGGGATGCACTCCCCGGAGAGGCAGCAGGGACCATGTGCCCAGAGCGGGCAACTGCAGAGTGGTCAAAGCAAGGAACCACTTCCTAAATGAGAGAGGGGATATGGAACAGCACCAGAGGAGGGCAAGAGCCTCCCAGTGAGCTCGTGGCACGGCCTGAAGAAGGTTCTGCAGCCCCAGAAGGTCCGAGCGTGGCTGGGCTGTGCCCAGTGCCGGGATCAGGGACTAATGAGCTGGGGCTTCAGAGACACCCATGAAATATGAGGCTGTTAAATGTCACGGAGCAGGCTCTGACAGATAAAGACCTGGGAACAGATCCAAGCCATCCCAAAGCCCCACCAGCATTGTTCAAAATTCAACCAGCGTCGAGCTGCAACTGCCACTCTTGTCCCTTCCCAGCCGTGCTCAAAGGACACCTGGAGGAGGATTCCAACCTCAGCGGCTTCTCTGGAGGCCAAACACAGCTCAGGTCTGCTGGGAGAGCTGCAGGATCCCCCACGGGCTGTGGGTTTGTCTGCTGGGACCACGCACAGGGAACGGCTGGCCCCTCCCGTGGGGTGCAAGAAGCAGCACAGAGGGTGAAGGGATGAAGGGTGGTTTGATGACCGGCCCAAGGCAGCTCCAGGGGGGGTTATTTGGGTGGAATAGGCTGTTTGCAGGCACTAAATGCCTCCGTGGATCAGCCTGATGGAGTCAGAGCGACAAGGAAGGAGGATCGGCCGAGGCAGAAGGGGAGGGTTGTTCCCTTCCAAAACTCCCTGCATCCATTTGCAGAGTGCCACAAACAGGAGGGTTTCAGGGGAACCTTTTTCGTTTCATGGGTTTGAAAGTTTCGTGTCCAAGCACAAAGACATCAGAAATGCAAATGCAATGTTTTGAGCAACACAAAGAGGTTTTGGCGGCGGCGAAGGAGGTGGGAGGAAGAGAATTTTTCTCTTCGAGAACTGCGAAATTATGGGGTTTGTTCCAATGCAGGATGGAGCCTGAAACCTTGAAACCCTCCATAAACTGAATTCCTGCTCTCAGCACACTTCTCCCTCTCGGGGCTGCTGATTGCTGCTTTTTTGGACCCAAACTGCCATGTTTCCATCATGCTGCTCGTGTTATGGAATAGACCTGAGGAGGAAAATAAATATTGGCAACTCGGTGGCGAGGGGGGAAAGAAGGAGGGAAGATGGGACATGACAATCTCCCTAGAGCTCAGAGGGAAAAACAGACCTAGGTTAGCTGGCAGTGAGTGAATCAAACTCTATTTTTGCTCTCTAGCCCACGGTGAGCCTCATGGCAGAAATGCCAGCTCTCATCATACCTTGCTCCCCACTTCCATGCTCTGTTTTGTGACTGACTTCAGTGCAGATGGCTGGAGCCAAGGAGCAGACACGCAGCCCTGGTCACAGCCCATCCCACAGACAGGCAGGGAAATCAGCAGGGAGGAAAAGCCAGGTCATTCCAGGGATAACTCCCCTGGGCAGTGCAGGGGATGGAGATGATCTGATGGTTCCCCCCAAGCAAACTCAGAATCCATCAATCACAGAATGCCCTGCGTTGGAATGGACCTTAAAGCTCATCCCATCCCACCCCCTGCCATGGGCAGGGACACCTCCCACCAGCCCAGGTTGCTCCAAGCCCCGTCCAACCTGGCCTTGGACACTTCCAGGGATCCAGGGGCAGCCACAGCTTCTCTGGGCAACCTGTGCCAGGGCCTCCCCACCCTCACAGGGGAGAATTTTTCCCCTGCCCTCTGTCAGTTTGAATCCATTCCCCCCCTTTTCCTGTGACTGCATTTAAAAGGTGCCTCTCCACCTCCCTTCAGGTGTTGGACGTAACTGTTCCCAGTTTTCCTTGGAAGTAGCACTAGAAACACGGGCTGGAAGCCCGAAGCACCAGGTGTTGTTTGAATCACTTTTGGCAAAGCCCACCTTGAGCGAGAAGTTTTTGGCTCCTTGTGAACAACCTCAGAGTTGTTCCCTCCTGCCTTCAGAAGGGCTGTCACGGCTCCCTGAGCAGCTCTGACAAAGTGCTGCAGGCTGGGAGGGCCAGCACAGGGCAGGGACGAGACAGAACTGGAGTCATCCCACGACCAGCATCTCCAGCTGGATTGATGGTCAAGTGGGTGCCAAGCTCAACCTTAAACGAGGTTTTGCCCCCTCCTGGTCTCCAGGCAGAGCTCTGTTCCTGCTCTGACTAACGCCAGCTTCGCTTCTCCCCCAGCCTGGAGGAGTCACAGCCTGCAGCACGAGAGCTCCATCAATCTGGTGAGGCTTGCTGGGGTGTTTTTGGCATTTCTTTGGCACTGTCCAGCAGCCTCCCCAGTTACCCCCCCCTCGCTCCCTGCCCCTTCTGCACTTCTCCTACGGACTGAGAAAGCTTTGACTGCAGCAGACCTTCACGATGCCCTGGCTCTGCCTGAGCCCAGGCAGAGGAGATGAATCATCTCCAGCACATTACAGGAGAAAGGCCCTTTGCCCTGCAGAGCAGCTCTCAACAAGTTTTCCCTGCAGTGCATCTCCTTTCCCATATCTCTGCTCGAGCCCTCGCTCACACCGAGTCCTGCTGCAAGAACGAGGCTGCAGCTTCTCATCAAGCAGGAGGTTTTGACTGAAAAGTGGGTTTTCAGTCCCAGACTATATAGATTACATGATTATTTTTTTTTTAAGGGTGTTGAAAGAAAAAGAAAGAGTGAGGTTTTGGTGAAGTACCCACTTGCTGCTTCGAGGTCCTTCAATTTACATGAATTCAAAGCATTTCTGTTTAATCTCTGTACAGAAGAGACTCCTCAAAGAAAAGACACCATTTTTCATCCCTCCCCCACAGCTGGAGTAGAAGAGACAGCAGAGGATGTGGTTTGAAGGGTGAGGCTGTACCTTGGACCGGGATTGTGTCCTCGGGGGGCTTCGCTGGGCTGCGACCCCCAACCCCTCCACAGCAGCCTGTGCTAAACCAGAGGGGGCTTTTAAGCACCCCTGCACATTTTGTAGACAAGCACGACCCTTTCAGTGTCTCAAATCTTTGGTTGCTTCCAGCAGGTTCCCCCAGGATGGGCTGGCACTGGGTTAAGGGACGCACCGTCCAGCCGGGCAGCCCAGCCTTCAGAGAGTGTGCTGGGCTCAGAGAGAGGGAGGTTAAATCACCTCCTGTTGCACAGCAGAGCCCCAAAACCAACAATTCCCAAATGTACAACACCTGGGGGCTCACGTGGTGGGGAGGGGATGGCAGGAAGGGCGTCCTTGAGCATGTCCCACCGCTCTCCCCCAGCGTCTGCTGCCCGCCGGCACCGGGCTCAGCGGGTATTTTTTCCCCTCTGACTCAGTGTGACCACCCAAACGGGCTCTGAGTTACCGTGTCCTCCACGGCAAACAGGCACAATTTGGGAGAGAGCAGAAACCGCAGCAAAACAACTGAAAACACAAAAAGGGAGGTGGAAAACACAGGGAGTGGGCGTCGGTTTGGGATGGGAGCGATCGGGAGCTCAGCCTTGGCTGGGAGCCCACGAGGGGACCCTGCTGTGCCTTTCCCTTCTTGTTTCTGATAAAGAAAAAGGAATGCAATTTCTTTTTTTTGGTGGTTTTTTTTTTCCCCTTTCCTAAGGAAGCGTGTGCAGCAAGAGAAGTTGAAATTACAAATCCCTGCGTGGCTGAACCGAGACCTCCAGCTCCAGCAAACCCTGCAGGCTGTTCCAGCCAGTCAATAACCGAGGGCAGCCACAACCTGCTGCAGCACTTGACACCACTAAAATGTGTTTGGGGACCTGGGGAAAGGCAACAGCAAAAGGCAACCCAGCACTGCTAATAAACGGCCAGGAGGGGAGAGAGAGAGAGAGAGAGCTGGTACCAAAAAAAAAAATAAAATAGCTTCTAACAACAGCTTTGTAAAGCAGGAAGGGCCACAGGGAGCTGCTCCGGCTCTGGAGCGATGAGCTACAGCTCAGGGAAACGCTGAGGGAGATCAGAGGGCAGCACCACACACATGGCCCCTTGCAAGGAGGATATGTCAAAAATTAAGCTGTTCCACCCACAAGATGGGACTTCACCGTCCTCAAGAAGCCATGGGACAAGTGTTGTCTGCGTCCCCACCCCTGTAACCCCTGCAAACAGGTCTGAAATAATTATTATCCTGCTCCAGAAAGAGCGGAGGGGATGAACAGGCAGCTCCACTCTTGCGTTTCAACAAGGGCTGGCCGTTCCTGAGCTCTCGATGGAAACAATTCCCTGCTTCCCAGAAGACAAGAGCACCAAGGCAGAGGTCTCCTTGGCTTCAGACAGAGCTGGGCTGGGGCTCCCCTCCCCTCTCCCAAAAGCACAGAAGGTTTTGAACCTCGTTTCTCCCGGGGAGCATCGTGCCCTGCCGGTCTGACCTTCCCGCTCGCTCTCCCGCCGTTAATCAATGGCGGATTTCACCCGGAGAGCTCTACAGCAGGACAGCAAGGACAGGCAACACATGGATCTTGTCTGGCAGGTGGGGATACTGAGACACAGGACTTTGCTTGAATTCAGACGAGTGAGATTCAGAACACGGAACAGAAACACACCCCAGCCCAGCCCGTGCTCCAGCACATCACAGCTCAGCTTTCCAGGAGACGTTGTTCCTGCTCTGCCCCGTTTCCCATGCTCAACCTTTCTCCCTTTCTTCCACAGCCTTCTCCCAATTTTTCATTACTTTTATCTTCCCCTCTTCAACCGCTCCCCCCTTTTCTTACAGCCCTTCCTCTCCACCTCCACCCTGCTGTGCCAGACAGCAGCCAGCTCCGGAGAGGGGCTCCCCGGCACCTCAACCTCGCGTAGCCAAAACCCAGCGCGTTCCACCGAATGTAAAAAACGTATTTAGGGACCTACCAGTCCACCTGGACTTCTATATCCCTTGTCTCTACCTTGGAGGGCGCATCTCCATCGCTGCCCTTACTGCTGCTCTTCAGGAGATCCAGGACGGGCTCGATCTCTTTGAGCAGCTCGTTGTCCTCCACGCCGCCGTTGAGGCACGGGTGGCCACAAGCCCCCTCCTTGCCCTTCCCGGCGTCCTGCCCTTTGCCGCCGGTAACGACGCCGTTAACGTGGACCATCGGCTCCACCTCCCTCCCCATCTCTCTGGTCCACAGGGAGCCCATGGCGCGCTCGGGCTGCGGCTGCTCTTTGCCGTGCGGGCTCGGGTTGGACAAGTCAACAGCCCTGGGAGCCGGGCACAGGGGTCTGGTGACACGGACGGTTTTGGGCGTCCCGTCGCCCGCGAAGGTGGTCTCCAGGTGAGTGGTGAAGCCCTCGGGGCCCCGCAGGATGAGGACCACGTAGGTCTCGGAGGCGATGCTTCTCAGGATCTCCAGCGCCGTCTCATAGCTCATGTCCACCAGGGGCCTGCCATTGACGGCCAGGATGATGTCCCCAGCCTGGATGAGGCCGCTCTGCTCCGCAGCCCCTCCCCGGATCAGGTCGGAGATGATGACGGGCGGTTTGCTGACGCGCTCCTTCACCAGGAAGCCGAGGCCGCCCACCTTGCGCTTGAAGAGCCTCACCGAGATGACATTGGGCTGTATCTGCTGCACGCTGAACACATTCTCTTCCATGGCAGCCCCTCCTCGAGCCTGCAGACCAGGACCTCGACACCCGCTGAGCGCAGAGAGATCCGCCGTCGGAGATGCTCGTCCTCGCCGGGGCGGGGAAGGGGCAACTCTGGCTCTTAGGGGACTGCTCTTAACTGGGAAACTCCTCAGGGCTTCGGCTGCGGGGCTTTCTGCGGCATGCTCGGTGTCACCGCGCCCTGAAACACCCGGGGAAGGGCAGGGGGTGTCACGGGTGGGAAGCAAGGCTAGGGACAGGACAGGCAGGGCAGGCAGGGCAGGCAGGGCTGGGCATCGCGTGGCCAAGCAGGGGCTGGAGGGGACAACATGCCAGCTTCCAGTCAGCCTGTGGTCCTGCGCTGGGCAGAGAGGGGGAGGCAGCTCGCTCGCTTCACCGGCATCCCCGCAGACCGTCCACGAGCTTCTTTATCTGGAAAGGAGGGGGAAAAAAACCAAACAACAAAGGAGAAAGAAAAGTGAGACAGGGCAGGCGTAAGTGCCTGCTCAGCACGGGGCTCGGCACGCCACAGGCACCCACATGCATCAGCCCGTCCCCACAGATGTCACCCCCCCGGGCTGCGTTTGGGAGACAGGCTGCAGCCTCCCATCGCTCCGGGCTTTGTTTCCTCCTTTTCTTCCCCCCCTCCCCTGCGAAAATCGGCACCATCTGTTCGGCGGGGGCCGGGAAGGCGCGGGGGGAGCGGGGGAGCCCTGGCAAGGGGCTTCGCCCAGGGGTTGCCAGAGAACGCCCGGCAGGTCCGGGGAAGGGGCAGAGCCGCTCGGGGCTCGGCGGCGATTTCTGCCGGCGGAGGATCCTGTCTCCATGTGTTTTCCAGAGCATCCAACAACCTGATGGTCGAGAACCAGACAGGGGACGTACATCCCTGCCCAGGAGGAAACCCGCTCCGTAGGTGCTGTCACAGCGAGTCGGTCTCGGTGCTCCGGGAGCAGCAGCCACGAGCAGAGCGAGGCAGGAGAAGAGGACACTCAGCCCCCTTCCCCCGAGTTGGGAACTTGCAAAGGCAACTGCTTTTAAGCCTGGCTCCAGGGATCATCGCCTCAGCTCCTCCTCTCCGCGTATTTCGAGCCTGGCACGGGGATGAGGAGGCAACGCTCGCACTCCCCCGTGCCCAGCCCTGCCATCCGGCTCTGAACTGTTCCCACACAAACTGCTTCGGCTGATGGCGAACCATCTCCAGGAGAACACGCAGCGAGTTTTCCCGGCTCTCGGGGGAGCCTCGTGCAGCTGGGCATGACTGTCTACAGCCCTCAGCTGGCTCGGGGAGCCACGTCTCATTGACTCCTGATGGGACCCTTGTTCTTACATGCCCAGGCTTGCGTTCAGAAACTTCTGCTCCCAGACCCTCTCTGCCTTCCCCTCCCTTTCCTCAGATGCTCTGGAGAACGTTCCTCTCCAGGGCTGCGCCCTGACATTTTGCAGCAAACTGAAATGCAGGCGCCTTCTTTTCACTTGTAAATCTGGGTTTTGGGGAGAGAACAGAGGGCACTTGATCTGCAGGCTGGAGGCACTGGCACGACAAGGAAAACACTCTCCTGTCTCCCCATACTCAGGGCAGCGTTTGCACCTTCAGACATGGAGCACCAAGTCCCCTCTGCCAGGAGCTCCCTCGGCACCCAGATGGCAAAAACAGGGATCTGAGGAGCAGCCAGTGACACCAGTCCTGGCATTAACTCAGGCATTTTAATCCTCATGTGATGAGGGCTGCTGACCCCAGACTGCACTTTTTACAAGCGAGTTAAGAATAAAACAATTAAATATGTACAACCCAAGCCAGTGGGTTTAACCCCTGTGGCCCTTCCCCTGCTGTGACTCGGCCCTGCAGAGCAGCAGCAACGTGCAAAGGGTTAAATGCCACCGAGTAGGCCAGTGGGCATTCACATCCTCAAGGGCTAATTAACCCCGGGGACATAAGCACTAATTGCTGGGTGACTTCCTGCAAGTGACCCCGGCCAGAGGCCACTGGAGCTGGACCAACGTGGCCGTGATGGGCTGTGCCACCTCCCAGGGCTCAAGGCAGCAGAGCAGGGTGTCTGCTCCAGATCCTCAGGCCACCTGGGGAGGGAAGATCCCAGTTTTGGGGAGGTTGGAGGGAAGTAGAGATCTGCTTCTACCGGGAAGGTTCTGTCCCTTTCCCTCCTTCCCAGCCCGTCCATCCAGAGCCCGCTTTCACCGGCAGGACCCCGGCCAACTCTTCCCTCTTCTTCTCAGGCATTTTGGTGCCAGTGCTGAACCACAGGACCAGCTTCCTTCCCCCTGCCAGGGTCTGTCTTTTCCTGGTCCCTGCATCCCCAGCCCCTCCACTGGTGCCCGTACAAGCGCAGTGACCGTCCCCCTGACGCCCGGGCAGGGCACTGAGTCACACAGCACTCATTTCTAACGTCCTGGCTGACACTGTAGGACGAACGTGGCTCTGAGAGCAGCACAAGTGCCACGGGAGCGTGGCACTGCCAGCTGCCTTCAAGGGGACAGCCCTGTTATTTGCTGGGGATTAGTCACGGGCAGCAGCGTTCGCAGGCTCCTCACCGCCGCTGGAGTCGGTGTTCGTGTCCTGCCCGTCTCAGCGGGGCCAAGGCCACCTCAGGGACTGCCTGGCACGAGTCCCTGTCACTGCTGGGCATCCCCAGCAGCTCACACAGGCAGATGTTCAACAGCTGGAGGAGACCCTGCAGCCCAGCTCGACCTTCCCGCGGTGCCTGCAGGGCAGCACGGCCACGCCGAGCTCGCTGGGCAGGGCCGAGAACCCCCAAAGTGTTTATCCCCTCACTCTTCTCCCACCAGGCTGATTTCCAGTTATTTCCACCAAAAGGCTCAGCATCTGTTGTGTGTATTCAGCTCCAGCCTGCAAGATCCCGGGGGACAACATGATTTCTGGGTGCACAGCATTCCCCATCCCCAAAACCCACGGACACCTCGGCATTCCTTGCAAGAGGGACAAGGAGACAAAAGGAGATTCTGGGTGATACCCCAACACCCAGCCAGGGCTTTCTCCCAGATGAGGGTGAGTGTGTCCCCTACAGACAGAGGGTGTCTTGCTCCCAGACCTTTCACTCTCCCACCTGTGATTGTGGGATCCCACTGGGGACTGGCTGGAAAACAGGGAATGACATTATGTGCCTGCTCATGAGTTTTTCCTCTTTCTCAAGCCCTTCCTTTCCTTTTTCTCCACAGCTCCTCAGAGTCAGGGGGGTCAGAAAAGAGGCAGAAAGCAGAGGGGCAGGCCAGAAGAGTGAGGGCAACCTGTCTCTAAGCCCCTGAGCCTTCTGCTCCTTTGGGAAGAGCTGGACAAGCATTTTCATAGAATTATGGCGTCATTTAGGTTGGATAATAACTTTAAGATCGTGGAGTCTGATGGTTCCTCAGCTCTGAAGTCTTACACAAACTCAGAGCAGAGGTGGGAGGGAGAGGGAGCAGGTCAGGGCAGCAGGAGACACCTGGGAATGCTCAAAAGACTTCCCCAAACACCCAGTGAGGGTCAGGGCTCCCCCCTGCCCAGCTCCTGGGGTGTCCCAGGAGGTCTGAGCCCACATTTCAGATGGAACCTGACTGATTCAGCCCCCGTGAAGCGACGGGGAGACGGCAGCTGGGCTCGGCTCTGAGAGCTCAGCTCTCCCTCCCAGCACCCTTGGGAGTGTGATTTATGAACCCGAGAGCTGCAGGACATTTGCCAGGTTGTACATTTAAAGCTACCTGTGGTGTGTCATGTCAAACTCCTTAAAACCAGTGAGAAGGGGGTTTCACTGGGGTGGAAACTCTCCTTTCACCCCCGAAAGGGAGCCAGGAGTGGCCAGTGCTGTGAGCAGAGCCAGGCTCAGCTCCCTGCTGGAATAAACACCCACAGGCAGTGCCAGCCCACTCCCTGCCTCAGTCTCCCCTCCCTTTCCAACACATAAACCCAACTCAAACCACAACAGACCCTGCAGACGTGCAAACTTGTAGCACCCCAGACAAGTGTTAACTCGGATCCCGACACCAATCCCTGGTAACATCCCTCCCTTTGGAGGCTTTAATGAGCCTAAGGAAGAGCAGCAAACAGGCTCCCCTTCGACAGCGACGAAAGCATTCGCTCCACCAACAACTCCCACCCCAGAAAAAGAAAAAAAAAAGAAAAAAAGCAATAACAAAAAGCTTCTCAAGTTGCCAGATAACATTTCGAGCACCAAACTCCAGCACATATGTTAATTGGATGATTTGATTTCAGAAGCAGAGCGGAGGAGAACTCAATCTTCAGGAGCTTAACACAATCTCCTAACTCTGCCAGGCAGAGGAGAGCTGGGACGTGCCCAGCTCCAGCCCTCCGGCGTGGGCACTTGGGCTGCCCTTGGCCTCACAAATGGATTTTGAGCCTTGCCTTCGCCACGATAATAGCTCGTGGTCCTGCGTGCCAGCTTTAAATGGGCACCACTGTCCTACTTAATTAGTTTTCGTGGGATTTATGGCGCTCGGGGAAGAGCCCCGGCGCTGATGGATTTATGCCCGTTTAATTTTTATGACCCACGGAGCGTCAGTGGATGCGATGAGGAGCACTGGGATGCAACATATGCACAGTTACTGTAAACCTGCGTGTTTGTGCCTCTGAAAATGGAGCATTAAAGTGATTCACTGGCAGGCAGCTCGCTCGTGCCAGCAGTTCCGCGCTCGACTCCCGCTCGGCTCCGGCCGACGGCGCGGCGTGTCTGTGTACACGGCCTTTTAATCCTGGGGATATATAGACAATGCTCCTTCAGCCATCTCTAATTATCCACCTCCCACCAACCCTGCCAAAATCCACCCAGGAAGGAGCGAGACCTTTTCCCTTCCCAGCCAAACGCCCGCTCTGCTTCTCCCCTCCCATCCCCAGCGCACCTGGCTGGGAGGTCACTGTTTCACCGGGGCCATGATGCCTCCTTTGCCCCCAATAAACCTGATTTACACACAGGAGTGGATGAAATGTGGCGCTTTGCCATCTGTATGACACCCTTGTGCCAGTGCCCAGCCATGGTGCAGAGCTGCCGGACCCCTCCCCGCAGCCACGGACACCGGCGGGCTCGGGAAGGACGGTGCCAGAGGGATGAAGTGCCAAGGACTCAGCCCTGGAGATCCACTCACCTGCTCCGTGTCAGCAGGGCTGTCTGCACTCAAACACGCCTATTCCTGG